TTTCATCCTTTGTTAATGTCTTAGTCCCAGACAGTTCTGCCATGTAGCTTAGCCAAACCCATGGTTTGTCACTCAGATTAAAAAATCACTCTGTTCGTTTATACACAGAGAGCAAGACAGTTACTTACTTCCATATTTAACATTTCCTTGTGTATGTGTTTATGAAGATTTTCTTTTAAAAGGAGATGCCAGTAATAGAAACAAGTGATGTACTTCATAGGGAATTAAATACAAGCAGCAGTACTAACCAGGTAAATTCTCTACTTTACTGTCTTTCACTATGTCTTTTTTTTTTTTATTAGTCCATATTAATGACAGTGGGAGTTCTGGGCACTATATCTACCATATACAGAATATGTGGGCAAAAGGCAATGGGTTTGCCCAGTCAAATGTAAAGATTTCTACAAAAAATTTTAATTTTTAAAATTAAATGTAAACACATTGTACATGTCACCAGAGCTACACTGTTATAGCAGTCCTATGATTACTAAACATTCACTAATATATTTTTATAGCTTTTCAGAACCACAAAACACGAGTTCCTTGAGGAATATTTCTCCTGATCCAAGTACCTCTTTTGCTGGTGTGAGTGACACTTAAGGGACAGAAAATTATTCCCATTGCAATATATATCTTTAAATATTTATACAGCAATTTTGTGCATTTTCCCATGCACTTCTTTCAGATGCAGCTTTTGTCCTGGTAATGAGTAGGGTTGGATTTCTTTGAAGTTGCTCCATGCATTTGGAAACAGATGGTGTATTTTTGAGTTAAGATCTTTATCCGTAGGGCACAGAAGTGGACGCTGAAGGACAGACATCTTGAGTGGCAAGGTGCCATTTTTAATTACTGCAGCCTAAACAAACAACTTCCAGTAGAAAGGACAGGGGGGAAAAAAGCATAATAGGACCATTAAGGCTTAAAATCTGAATCTTTGTCTGAAATTAATTTTCTTGATACAATTTTCCTGAGCAGAGGTCCTAAGGCTCATATGAAATAAAAAGTAGGGGGAAGGCTTTACAAGGACTGATTTAGCAGGAGATGATAGCAGTGGAAGAGTACACCAGACAGGCAAAGCTGGTTCCACAGAAGACACGGGTGAGGGTAAGAAGCTGTTGATTAGATGCATATTAAATTACAGAACCATAGACTTGTTAAGGTTGGAAAAGACCTTTAAGATCATCAAGTCCAACCATCAGCCCAGCACCACTATCATGTTCACCATTAAACCATGTCCTCATGTGCCATATCTACATGTTTTTTGAACACTTCCAGGGATGGTAACTCCACCACTTCCCTGGGCAGCCTGTTCCAAAGCTTTACAATGCCTTCTATGAAAAATTTTTTCATCATACCCAATCTAAACCTCCTCCAGCACAACTTGAGGCCATTTCCTCTTGTCCTGTCACTTGTTACCTGCGAGAAGAGGCCAACCCCCACTTTGCTACAACCTCCTTCTAGACAGCTGTAGAGAGCATTAAGGCCTCCCTTGAGCCTCCTTTTGTCCAGGCTAAACAACCCCAGCTCCCTCAGCTGCTCCTCATAAGACTTGTGCTCTAGCCCCTGGGAGTGAAAGGAAAGTAAGAGATAAGACTTATTCTACAAGAGATAAATGATCATGAATTTATGTCACTTTTCTCCTTGCAAATCATAGTAAAACAGCTGGATATTTTAGAAGGCTTTTTTTCTGTCCCAAGTAAGGGTCAGAAAAAATCCCTTTGCTCTACCTCACAGCAGACACAAAAGAGCTTGTGACTTTGTGACTGTTCTTTCATGTGTGACTCTTGTACTAATGGCAATAGTCTGAGAAAGTGCAGCTCAGGCACTAAGAGCCTGTGCCAGAACACAGACTGCTGCAGCTAAACAGTAAAATTGCTGCCCACCCCTTCACCATACTCCCACCACCTTGATACCCAGAACAGGCTCTGCCATGCCAGCTGCCAAAATTTGATGGTTAGCCACTGCATGGAGTTTTATGGATAACCTGCAAGACATTATGGCCCCTACAGTGAACAGCTGGTCATATACAGGACTCATGGCTATGGTTTGGTTCTTCCTTCACTGAGCTATGAAAACACTGACAGCTACAAAGTCCATCCCATGGGTGCTGCAAAGGCTGATGTAACCACTGTTGAATGTCTGGCTTCTTGGAGAGCTCATCTGTCTCCTGCAGCTGCTTGTGTCAGATTTTATGAGAAACAGAGACCAAATGATACCTCTGATTTCAAACATTGTCCTCAAATCCATAGGAGTCCCTACCCCTGAGCACGCCTGAATTGGTGCCAGAGCATTTAATTACTTCTAGACAACATCACCGGGGGGGGGGGGGGGGGGGGGGGAGAGGGGGGGGGGGGGGGAGGGATGCCATGGAATTGGGTTGCTGTGGAACACCCTGTGAGACACACCCAAATAGCAGAGAAAATTAAATTCCAGTGTTGCAAGGGTTCAATCACAGTCTAAGCAGGGTAAATAAAAAGTAATTTTTTCCTACCAATTTAATCTTCCAGCTGGGGCTGATGCCTTTACCTCTTTTTGCACAATCACCAGTTCTGGTCCAGTTACATTTCTTGCTCCTACCACCACATACTCAAGTACATAAAAGTATTATTCAGTGGTCTGGCTGCAAAATACGGGAGTCAAAAGACCCGTGTTCCATTCCTAGCTGTACCATAAACACGACCTGGGGAAAACAGCTCCCTTTCCATGACTTTCTCACCTCATATGCCACATAAAATAAAGTCTTGCTACTCCTACCTCCATTCACAGATGCCTTGATAACATGTGAGTTCACAGATGCCTCGAAAACACGAAAGACACTTTCTCATAATGCTGTAATTCCTTTAGCATCTGGGGTGAGGGGAGGGAGGGCTGGGGGAAGTTTTCAATAAATTAAGCTTCAACTTAACTTCAGTATCTGTGTCGTCTGAAAATATGTAAACTCATGGGGTTAAAGAGACTCCAGAAACTGTCATCCATGAAGAAATTTCCACTTCCACCAGTTCTCAAGAACCTAATCCTATATAAAAAATATGATCTGTATGGAGAAGGGATGTATTTAGAATAGTTTTCAACTTTGAATGACAGAGCTTCAACTGTGAATGACAGAGAAGCTCTAAACCAGGATTAGGCCACCTTCTATATCAGGCTACTAAACAACAAAAAGGGCCCAGATGTATTGATAAAAAGATACACACAACAATACCACGTCTTTTTACCTTACCTAATGATATTCAAAAGACTAGTTCATGGTATTTTAAACACTTAGGGTAATGTTCAGTCCTAGATCTGAATGCTTTGATGCTGCAGGCAATGTAACTAGGGCCTGAGGTGTGTATAAAGTCCTAAATATAAACCTTTGCCTGTGGACTAAAATTACTAGTGGAATTTGGCTCTAGTCACAGAAAGGGTTTAAAATCTCCTGTCTAAAGCCTTATTTGATCATGTTTCCTTTGCTGGTTGCAGTACACTATATCAAATAGGCAATTACCCAGACTCTTGCATTGTGGTCACTGTATTCATTAAAATTACCACAATTGTCATTAAGCCCATATTTCTGTTTAGAAATTCCCACACAGAAATATCAGTTTATAGGTTATGAAGCACACACACATTTAGCCTGGTATGTCCAGGATGTATTGGTCAGCGGATCCTTGACTTGGAGCCAGCCGTGTTGGGTCCACTGGGCTCTCTATGCTCAGGCTATGCCTGCAGTCACCAGTCACCCGGGGCATCCTCCTGTCAGAGGCTGGGCCCACACGCCAGATACCTAGAAGTTTTTCACAAATGACCAAGTTATTCTTTTTCATCCTGGTCAAAATTTCTGGCAAAAAACCAGAGGATATGACTTCGAAAGCCAGCTGAATAGTAGCCCTTCTGAGAGCACAAGGAGAAATTAAGATTTCTGTTCAAACTCCTACATGTCCTAGACCAGTAATTTTCACTCCTTCCATCTGGTCCAGTAAATCTGTTGTGAGGAGGGACAGACACACAAAGGACTGATATAGCTGCCTTTGGAAATGGAATTTACATCTCTGACTCAGAAGTTAATAAGTTTTATATGACAATGGCATCCAGCAAATAGGGAGAAGTTCTGAAGAACAGGGAGAGCCAGTGTAGGGAGCAGGGCAGAAGCATACTGAAGCTGACCTTTGGGTTGTGCCAATGTATGTATGTGTGTGATAACCAGCATATCTCTTAAGCAACAGGTTGCCCAGAGAAATTATGGCTGCCCCGTCCCTGGAACTGTTCAAGGCCAGGTTAGACAGGGCTTTGAGAAAGCTGGTCTAGTGAAAGGTGTCTCTGGCCATGGTAGGGTGGTTGGAACTAGATAATCCTTAAGGTCCCTTCCAACCAGAACACTTGATGCTGCGTTTAGCTAAACTGACTATGCTCTATGTAATCTTAACATCTGCCAACTGTAATATTTTCTTAGTTTAGAGGGTTTGGATTCTTTTTTCTTTCCTCAAGATGAAAGGGGTGGTAGAACAAAGGGAGTAACTGCAATCAATTTTTAATTAAATATTCTTTAAATTTATTCTATTAGATTTTTTTCTAATGTGCAGAAGAATACTTTGAAGTGTACCACAGCATCACTGAGAGTGTTGTTTAGTGTGGTCAATAAAGAAGTGATCTGCCAAAACTCTGAAGGAACCACTATTAAAGTTACAGTATTTCTCAACCAAGGGGATATGCTACTTGATTTCCTGGTTCGATTGCCCATCAAAATCTACTCTTTCTTTAAAAGAGCCTACTTAAAGTTCTTCAAATTTTGCCAAGCCTTGAATCATGCACACACAGCAGTTGTAGCCAGGAGTTAACACTTGGCAAAAAGACCTTTTAAGTGTTTAATGAATTTTTTACAGGACTATGATGTTCAAAGTACAAAATGTGCTATATTTCAGGCCAATTACATGACAGAAATGTGCATGTAGTGATTTTTTTTTTTGCCAAGCTAAATTAGACATTTATTTTCTGTTACAGATAAATGAATGCCACTAATGGAGAGTAGCAACCATATTTCTCATCTTTATTTGGAAGTCCATCATGAAAATTCTTCTTTTATCATTTATTCATCTGAATTCCCATTTAGAATATACTGTTATACATAATTACTACAATACCCATATTCTGATTTAGCCTATATTTGGATAGAACAATATTGTGTTAAAACATGAGTTTTAACATTTTAATTTTGAAATGAAATTTGTTCCCATAAAAGAACAACTAACAAAAAAATCAGAACGTTGGGAAGGTATATGAAACATCAAACAGTTCTTCAGTTCATAAAAAAATGAAGAAATTAGTCAAATTACACACTGTATACAGTTATTTTTAAAAACTATTCTAAATACATCCCTTCTCCATACAGATCATATTTTTTTATATAGAATTAAGTTCTTGAGAACTGGTGGAAGTGGAAATTTCTTCATGGATGACAGTTTCTGGAGTCTCTTTAACCCCATGAGTTTACATATTTTCAGGCGACACAGATGTTTCAAAAAGAAAGGATTATCTAAAGAAGTCAGAGAAAAATGGTGGAAAAATCAATGCCATTGACAATGATTATAAGCTAGCTCACAATCTCAAAATATGCTCTAATAAAATTAACATAAAAATCTATTACCTTGAGGCATTATTATTTTGTTACTTCCTAATAAAATACCACTCAACTTCAGAATTGTGGTGACACACAATGCCCATATTAATCAAACATCTTCTGTCAGATATCTGCTCAACATTATTGTCTCCCTTTTGGATATATGCACACTGATGAACAATCTCTCCTTTCCCTAGGTGCACCTTTTAAAAGTTGCATGTTGAGGACAGCCACAGCATTTTCTACTTCTGCTGTATCAATAAGGCAGCAGGACCAGACCTTACCATCCTTGGGCCTGCTGAGTATGCTAAACAAATACTTCTGCTACTGATATCAGTCAAAGATTTCATTTAACTTAGCCTTCCTGAACGTCAAAAAAACTTGCACCATACTTGAAATATCAGCAGTGAAGAGTACCAAATTCTTTGGATGCTCCTGTGACACTGACAAAAAACAGTTCCTCGGCATGCCAATAAAAAATACTGAAGCAAAAACTAAATACAGAGTACCAGTTTTGAACCTAAATATGTTTTTTAACAGCTGATGTTAAATCAAGTTCTATTTAAAATTATTTTAAAAGTCAAATAAAATCGATGTGTGCAAGGAGAATATTTAGTACATTCCCCAACTTATTTTTTTAAGTTAAGTTTGGTGAAATCTATCTCTGGTGCAACCAATGGTAGACAATTCAAAATTAAAGCACCCAGTAGAAATAGTCAATTATAGTATTAATAATGGCAACTCTAGATTGTCTACTGTGTAAATCAAAGTAAGGAAATTATGCTACACATGGTGATTGCACACCATGTACCACCTTGAACATAAGGGATCTAAAACATGCCTTATGATAATCCTTGAACAATTAACAGACTTGAGAGATCAAAAGAGCAAAAAGAAGGATGGAAGTGGGAGCAATATTCCTCAATAAAAAAACTTTGTGCCCTATAGCTGTGCAATGAGTAGTGTTATGTCAGTTAATAAGGAGTTTGATAAGTACCTCAGTGGCCCTGCTTAACTAAAAAGGCTTCCCATACAACAGTGACATTCATAGACTCATAGAATCATTTAGGTTGGAAAAGACCTTTAAGACCAAGTCCCACCATTAACATAACACTGACAAGTCCACCACTAAATCATGGCCCTAAATTCCTTATGAGATTAATATGCACCAGGTGCACATTTGCCATATTGCAGTCCAATTAACTAATTTATGACCAGTGGTAATAGGCAAAGATCATCTCAATCTAAGGACTGGATGACAGGCACAACCTGGTTCTTAGCTACTACATATTTGGACTGCTAAAACACTTTGGATGAATGTGAGCTGACATAAGCAATTTAAGTTTCCTATAATTAATCATAACATTATTAACAGGAAGTTAGACATTTACCCAATCTGATGTATCTCTGTCCCTTCTTCCTGTGTTTCTAGAAAAAACTTCATTCTTATGCATGAAGGAACAAAATCCATGTAATCTATAAAAACACAAACCACTTTTTCTGCTAAATGTTTCAATCAAGGAACAACAATAGACTAACAGACCTGAAAGAGACAATATATCAAGTCGTAATTTCAAAATCTGTGCAGAAAAATGCCAAAATAATACATTTTAAAGCAATTAGACAAGATAATTTAAACAAAGTTTTAGCAGTGACCTTCAACAGTCATAAAATGATGCCTAGGAATGTTACTTTAAAAGCCATTTTCTTTGACTTGTAATCTTTGTGAACACTTAATTTATGCAAACAGGCCTGAACGAAAAAAAAATAAATAAAATATTGCTGTAATTTTTGTCACTGTTTTGTTCAATAGAGATATTTCTCTGGAAACATATCTACTCCATTAGTTAGGAAAGAAAGAGAAATTCCAGAATCCTGCCTCATGATTTCTTAAAACTTCCTTGCTAAATCTCTAATAAGCCACTTTGTGTATGGGAAGCAGTCTGGCCTCATTATGCACATTACCCCTTCCTCCATATTCCAAAAGAAGGGCTATGCAGTCTGGATTACCTCCTCCAGCTACTTTAAACAGTACTGATGCATGATCATCTGCTAAGGCCTGGACATCTCCACACTGAAGGAGGATACAGAACCTATATCCAAAGTGATTTGTAGATCATCATAAAAGCAAACCCAGAGTACTTTCCTCTTCATTTGGAGATGTATTTAAGTTAAAACTTTACTAAAACAAGAAATATTTCTTGTGGCAAATTTAAAATTCAAAGGCAAAACAAGAGGTGTACAGATACAAGCTCAAGTGCTCACCTGACTGTGGTCTGCTTTGACTCTAAATGTTATAACTGAGGACTTTCAAACTGGCATATTTCAAAAATAATTCATTTCATTAATTAATACCAATATAATTCTATTCGTGGAAGGAAAGATAGAAGGCAGGGAGAGACAGAAGGAGGGAAGAAGGAAGGGAAGGAGGGGAGGGAAGGGAGTAAAGAGAAATACAGAAGGGCAAAAAGGGCATATATAGCAGTAAGTCTCTCCTTGACTGAGCCACTCTTTTCACATGCACTATGGAAACTTGTAAGCATCACCCCAGTCTAGCAGGAATGCTCATCTATGCTTCCTTTCCTTCTAAGAAACCAAATCTTCTCATTTATCACTCCTCTTTCTTCCTTTTTCCATGATCACCCTGAAACACTTGAGCAGCCAGGCAGAGGTGTATTTCTCTTTTCCTGACTACATACCTTTACGATTAAGATGCTCCAGCACATCACATTGACCATATTCATCAGCAACATCTAATGGTGTTACTCAATATTCACCCTTAATGTTCACATTTCCACCATTCTTCAGAAGATCAACAATGTCTTTGCATCTCTGTTTGGCATCTTCATGCATTGCTGACCAACATTTCATGCACAGCTGGTAGATAGTATAGTTGTATTTAATCAGAGTGGATACCATTTCAAAAGAGCCCCTTCTTGTAGCTAAAAATATAATTACATTTTCAAGTATTGTCTTGAAAGTTAAAGACATCTAATAAGTTTAGAAAAGCTTTCCTCTGTGTTCCAACATAAAGAATTTAAAAATATTTCCAGTCCTAGAAATCTGGGAATCCAATATTTGGTAAATAAATAAATATTTCGGCTGCTTCGGAAATCAAGGTACATGAATGCAAGTTCAAAACTGTCAGTTTGGGGCATGGAAGGCAAAAGCAGCAATACTTTGATTCTGAGAAAACAGAAGCAAGTGTATCACAAGGAAAACAACAATTAAAATAACACAATATTAAAATTGTGTCTAAAGTTGTTGCAAACATTACAGTGTCCCTGGAAAATTCCACCTCTGACTTTCTTTTCCACCTGGTAGCTCTAATCCTAGTGTCTACATAGTGGTGGTTGTCAACCAAAGTACAGTTGACATCTGTCATACTTAAAGGCCATGTTCCATAGTTTTGAGGTGCCATGGCTTTAATGGATAACTATACCTTCATATTATTTACATGTAAAAGACTGATACTAAGTAAGAATCTAATTTTACTTTTAAACTACCCTCTGAAATAGAAGATACCTCCACGGACTGGGGGGGCAGTTGAGGGAGATAAGCATCATAGAGTTAGCAAATTTAACTTTTGTGAATGTCCCATTACACAAGAAGGTTTTTAAGAGTCAACAGTCTTCATAATTATCCACAATTGCTTTGAAGTACAGTATTACCAAATGTACCTGAAAGCCCAGATCATCCCACTAGATAAATATGTCTTCAGCATTTACCTTTCTACTACAGAGTCCTCCAATCAGTTTTAAAATTAAAAGGAGAAAATAAATCATAAGAATCATCTATTAAGTGGTGTTAAGCACCCGATCCTCTATTTCACTGAAACTAAGATTGAAATGTATGATGCACAACAATGTCTACATCCAACTGTCAGTGCTAAGTGACAGAAAAACATAAAAAATAAAAAGCATCACAGAAACAATACGTAGCTGACAGACCTCACTTTCAGGAGTTTGTATACAGAAATATTTAGGAAATTAAATTGTCATTATAATGGGAAAGACCTTTCTCGTCAGCACTAGTTAACTCTTCACAGGATTCATTAAAAGCAATGGCTGAAAAATAGCTGAAGTTTCACAGACCTACAATCGTCGAAAAGAACTGAAGTAACAAAAAGCAGGGTATTGCAGAAGAACCCCTTACAAATGTCTCAGCACCTCAGAATGGTAATATGGTAATAGCATCTGATGAGAGTTAATAAAAATTCAGATAACTGAATATATTAATACTGATAATTGTATTGTATATTGTATTTTCTCATATTAATTTCACAGATTGATTCTCTTTAGAAGCATGAAGATGCTTTGACATTTAACAGAAACTGGAAGTTAGTATAGCTAAATTATTCATGAATAGTAAAGCTCATTTAAGTCTACCAATAGCATAATATCTTCCAAAGGAATCATCTTTCTTTAGATTGTGGTATTACTTAGAAATGCAGTTGAAGCTTGTTTTCAGCACAAGAGGGGAGGGAAATGAGATGAGACGTTTTTAAAACTATCTGCCTACTCCTGAACAAATCATCTGATAAAACTAAAGATCTCCACTGACCATGAGATCTGCAAAAAAAGTATACTCCAGTTAAAACAATGGCTTATTCTTGTACTGTTCTTGTACCTTAAGATGGTTAAATAGGACCACGTTGGTAAAGGTCTTATAGCATCTGAAGATACAGAGAAAGCACCTTAAACAAAAAATAGGTCCCATTTTCTCAGCAGTTCAGCAATCATCTAAAACAGAAGAAGCATGTTTAAGATCAGCCTGGTGATCACCTAAAGTATGATGAGTGCTGAACTGAACACTGGGTACATTTCACCAGGTGCTGGGCATTTAGTTTCATCTAAAAAGATGACCAGCATCTAAACCATGCAAGCCAAGGGGAGTACTGGGATGAGTACGTAACAGAGAGGAAGTGCTGCCATTCACGTTGCTTAAACCCAGAGAGAGGAGGCAATTACCAATAAGAAGTGGAGTTTCTCCTTTGTAATTTGAGGTATTGGGATAAACACTGTTTTCCAGTAACATTCATACATTTTCCACAAAGCCAGCTTTTGCTGTCAAGTTTAATGCTGTTTCTCCATTGCATGTTTTGTATTCCAACATTGTTTCATAAGAGGTAATAAAGGGAAAAAAAATAAGACAAAATTAAAGCACAAGGCTGTTAACACAGATAAATCAGAAATCCTTAAACACTAAGTCTATGAAAAGCACCTGTAATTATGTTAACCTAGCAAGTATTGCCAAACACACTGAATATTACATAGTAATTTTTGTGTTGTCTGAACAAAACGTTAAAAATGGTCCAAGTTATTTGCTGGTGTAAATTGATGCAACTTTTCCAAAACCAGAAAATTTGCCTGAACATTTACACAACATAAGCAAGATGCTCCTTGGAGGACTTGATCATACTTTTTTTAGTAAACAGTTCTAGCCTCTTGTTGTGTTTATTGCTCTATGTTTCTTTGCTACTCTCCTTACCTTGTGGGATATTTTTACCTTACTTGCCATCTAAAATGACTGCAAGTATCTGTGGAATTGGCCAAGCTGCAGCCTTGTGCAGTGGAAACCACCCTCTATGATCAGTTTCCTCCAAAGCACATGTCAGGTTCACAGGTTCTTGAAGCTCAAACACTTGACCTTAAAAATTCCAACAGATAAACAAAACGTAGTAGAAAAAATAATATACTGAAAGCTCATATTTGCTAAAGGACTATTTTATTTCAGGGATTTTACCTTGCTTCATGAACGTTACAATTTTCCTGTTTTCCTCATGAGGTGGTACACTAAAATGGTCTCATCCTGTGTCATTAATTATCACTTTTAATGATCCTTAATATGTAAAAAAATACCCCTGAACAAACCACAAACACTCAAAAATATAGCTTTATCTTTATACTTCCAAGGCATGGCCTATCAAAAAACATGAAGAACTTTGCAGTCTCTGCACTGCTTCTGCAGTCATGCAGTTCAATGGACATTCACAGGTACTGGGTACACAAGCTCAGGCGATGGTCAAGCCATGCCAGCTATTATTTTCAAGGCGTGAGAGTCATTGAAACACTCAGTGGATTAGTAACAGAGTACAACAAACCTTTTAACTATAGTCATCAACTTAAATTCAGTCTGCTCATATCACCAACTTTATGGCTTATGTTCACTATGCTTTTTACTAGTGATATCACATCAACTGACCATCTTGCTAGCAAATTCTGACTCTAACTGGAAAGTCAGGAATGCTGCTCTCTACAAAACCTTCTAGGTTTTTGAAGTGCAAAATGTAAAAGACACTTAAGGAAAAAACCCTTAAGTTAATATATGCCTAGCTGTACCTATCTAGGTTTTTCCAAGTGAGTTTTGGGTTTTGACAGTTTCTCTGTTTGATTCAATCTTAGTGGCTTAACACATTTGTCCTTTAATCAGACTGAGGACACCAGATGTTGAATATTTTTTTATTTTTTAATTTTAAACTACTACTCCCACAGTTTGTGCAGTCACGTGCTGTATCTACCACACTGAACAATTCTCATTAGAGTGTTGCACAAATATTGAACAATTATACTAAGCAGCTGTTGCATGTTTTTCACAGAACAATCATCATAGTGCATTCTAGTCATTCTGCAAAGAGAGAAGGAACATTGGAAAAGTTATTTGGAGGACATTTTCTGAAAATTATTCTCAAGGGAAAGTACTAATCAGCTTTCTTTTTAGATTAATTTCTACATTGCTCTCGTAAGCAGTAAGTCAATCAAAGTACCACAGCCGGTATTTTAATCCCATTCACAAATACTTTATTACTTAGTATATTATAATAAAGCTTGCAAACCAAAATTAAATTAGTAAGGGTTTACAGTCAGATTGACTCAGAAACTCTTGGATTCCGATTCCCACATAATACGGTTTCCCACCTCTTTCAATATGTACTGGAACCATGGTCTGATTTTTAACTGCAAGGAAGGAAATCTGAAGGAAAGTAGAAAAAAAGTGCACTTCAATCCCATTTTCTCTGAAGGAAAAAATATACAACTTTGGTCTTAAGTGTCATCTCTGAACACAAAAAAAGAGTCCATGAACAAAGGGATGTTCACAGAAACATTTTCAATTGGGACTTAGAAGAACAGAGATTTATATTATTCAGAAGAGACAATGCTTTTCTGAAAGGTTCTCTTTTCCTTCCTATTGTGTCTCTAATCAAGGCTGCAGCATAACAGTCCAAAAGATTTAACATGTAAGTTAGACTGACAAACTGGCCATCACAATGTGGACAGACATATCGCTCTCCCTCATCTCTCGTGGGCTATGTGCTCTACTGACAGGCAGGAGAATTCTGAGTCAAGGTTTTTTTATGTATTTATCCTCTCATTTTCATAAGCACTTTTCTAATTGTGATGATACTTGAAAGCTTCCATCATTTAATCCACAAATACACACTGTTCTGAAGACTCACAAACCCTTTAGACAGCAAAGATAAAATCTCTCTTGGACTAGCAGTTTTAGAAGTATATCTCAATAAACATACCTACAACCTCAGCCTCCCATCAACTAAAAGGAAAGTACATTTTAGAATTCATTAACATTTCATTGGCAGCTAAGAGGTGCTCATAATGAAAACGAACAGTTAATTTATTAAAAAGATAATGGTTATTATTACTAGGATAATTTATTAAGGAAAAAATTGTAACATTATATTTACCCTAGAGCCTGAAGCAAAAAGGCTCCTGAAGACTTATACAGGCCTTAGATCAGAGCCTCACATTGCAAACTCTCTGAAAATAAGTCTGTTTTAGTATATTACAGTATCCCTATAACACTGTTCACATATGGTTTAGTCCTGTGAGATGATCAATACCCTCCAACATCTATGATTTCAAGAACAGTTAAGAGCACTGAGCATTATATTTGTCTAGTGATAAAATCCATTTATTTTCAGAAAAAATGTATTGCCTTTCTATCACCCCTTTCTCTCCAAAAGATAAGAGGAATAAATTAGTTTAGAGGCCATCACAGAAACTTTTCTCTGGTCATATAATTTCTATACCCATGTGGCAGCTATCTCCTGCTTTGCTATACCTCCCTGACTGATTATGTCACAGGCAACACAAAGATCTTCTTGAACACAGATTTAACCAGTAAGGTCTCAGACGAGCAGTGTTTCAGAATAGTTGTGTGTACTGTTTTCAAATTATCTTATCCCACAAACATATTATAAAATGAGAAAGTCAGTAAGGCAGCAAGTGACTGCCACAGGGTAGAGTGAAAGTCAACCAGCGCAGCACAGCACAAGTGCTGGACACATTGTCAGGGGTCTATACGCGCTTCGAGAGCCTGATTTGCTATATCACTGCTGATAATACACTGTGCTGAGGTGACACGGTCTGACTGAAGTGTGGATGTTCTACATGGATCACAGGGGAACATAACAGCATGGCTGGTACACTGAGCAGCAGCAGAGACATCCCTGCTACGCTACATGGCAATGAAAAGGCTAAGTAGCAGCAAAATTTTCTTCCATTGTCTGTTTATCAATTGCTAGACCCATACACTAGATCACTGGAAACAACTGCAAATGCTTACTCTAAAGGAGTTTTACTTTTTGTATTACCAAGAATATTTTCCTTAAACAACATTTTGAGTAGCCTGATATTTTTCTCTTTTTTTTTTACATTCATGACTGAAAAACTAGATATTACTTCTTGATGTTGCTCTCTAAATTACTGTTTTTTCATTGGAAAAAATATTAACTACTTGCTAATCATGGAAGTTGCATCCTTCCTTGGAAAGAAGTGTATCAAGTGTTCATTGCTTTTAAACACGTGAAGTTTTGTGAGAGTTAATGTTATTCTAATTTCTTATCCTTAAAATAAACTAGATAACCTTAGCTTCACTCTATAAATAGAAGGCCTTTAGGCATGCAAAGAGGTTATTCATAGCAATAAAATAATTAATAGCAATCTAAATTTGGACTCAGTGAATTAAATATTACAGTTATAAACTATGTCTCTGTTAGTCTAATTGACGAGCATACCATATTCTCACCTTTTCAAACCATTATCTTCCCACTGTTACTCTGGGGTTTGCATTTTGAACAGCCAGGAATGGTGCCCTGCAAGCTGAGGTGTCCTGTGATACTTCTAAAATTAAATACACAGTTGCTAGATAAATTAAGGTCTGACCTTGTACAACTGTAACATAAGCTGACTCGACCCACAGGAAAGTATTACACATGACTTCTCTAAAATCTCATCAAATGTAACACGAGGTCTGGGGGGTATAAGAAGATTATCTGTGTTCCCATTGGTTAAACAACTCCCATTAAGAAAATAAATTATTTGCCAATTATTCTCAAGGGCTACGTCAACGAAATCTGGCAGCATATTTACATAAATCACAACAAATCTGAGACAGTTTAGCCTTTAACTAGTTGCAGATTCCACCATAACACATCACCAAACTTTTGTCCAGATACCAAATCATTTGGTAATTTGTAAGGCTTCACTGCGAGATAAACTCATTGGTAAGACAAACAAGGGAGAAGGAGTCATAGCAATAGCAAGGCCTTCTTAGAGTGCCTACGTACTGTATATTAACACACTCTGTTAATACTCTGAACAGAGTCCCCAGTCTTAAACAGATAACAAATAAACCGTGAAATGCCATGTGGGTGGTTTAGGGGGTTTTTTGGTTTGTTTTCAAAACCATGTACTTATTGAATGTACACTGATAATACTTCTTAGTTCTTGGCTTCGTTATATTTTAAAATAAATTATGTATTGAAACAGGGTTTGACAATTCCAGGAACTTCCTACAGTATCACTTCAGGACTGATTTCATGAACATTTTCATCAACAATGCCTACTCTTTTATACTCTTTATAACATAAAGTTAGGATGTGGCAAGGATACCCAATGCATGGTCTGTTTAAACAGACAATCAGAACTATTGTTTGAACTATAGTAACTGAGTTAAATATTGCCTGACACAGAACAATTTGTGCTGTGGTTGACTAGTGTAATCAGAAGAGAGACCATCTGGTTGGACCATCAGAGAAAGGGGGAAAATGCAGGAATTATCTAATAAAAAAAATGCAGAAACTTTCAAAGACCATCATTTTGATAATAGAATCTCTGTGCCTTGGAAAGAAACCCCAGGTCTTTCTGATGTAATTCCAAAGAACACACAGAAGTGGGGAAGCAAAAACCCTGAATTTTGATATAAACTGTATCAATCACTTTGCTTTAGTTACAGATTGGAGGTAGTGCATGTTTTATTAAAGGACAGGGTTTCAGGGAGAAGTCAATGGTATTCTGAAACTCAGTGTGAGCAGTTTGCTTACCAGTTACGGAAAAGAGGAGCTCAACAGCAGGACAAAGGAATTATAAAGAAAAATTTGTCCAGAATATGACAGAACGACAGCATCACAGACTGTGCTGAATTGGAAGGGACTCACAAGGATCATCGAGTCCAACTCCAGGTCCTGCACGGGACCATCCCCAAGAGTCACACCAGGTGCCTGAGAGTATTGTCCAAACACTTCTTGAACTCTGTCATGGTTGGTGCTGTGACCACTTCCCTGGGGAGCCTGTTCCAGTGCCCAGAACCTTCCAGTGTTCCAGAACCTCTTTCTAATATCCAACCTAAACCTCCCCGACACAACTTCAAGCCATTGCTTTGGGTCCTGTCACTGGTCACCACAGAGAAGAGAGCAGTGTCTGCCCCTCCTTCCCTCACAACGAAGTTGTAACTGCA